TTTAGGATTTTTAAAATAATATATTTTTAAATTTTTATTTTAAATAAATTTTTATAAATTTTATAAATGTGGCATGTGTCACTTAATAGACACTTTAAATAGCCATTATGACCTATATAGAAACTTAAAATAATAATGTTTGTAATGTTAGACACTTAAATTAGTTAAAAATAAATTAGACACTTAAATATAAAAAATGGTACAATTTAATTATTTTTTTATATTAAGCCTACTAGATAATGCACACTTTAGGTACTTACAATGAATGTGTGGCCAATTATTGATAGAGAAAATAACATCAGTGACCAAAAATCCTAGATAATATATGATTTTGACCAATTTTTTTTGGATTTACGAAAATGACCAACAAAATCGCAATGCGATCTCTAATTCGCATTGCGATCTCCACTATCGCAAATTCACGTTGCATTTCGCGTTGCGTTTTTCCATTTCGCGTTGCGATAGTTGAAAATCGCATTGCGATTTTCCATTTCGCGTTACGATAGTTGAAATTCGCGTTGCGATTTTCCATTTCGCATTGCGATAGTTGTGATAGTCTGCAGTTGTCGTTGCGATTTTCCAAATTCGTTGCGATAGTCTACAGTTGTCGAAGACACGTATTACCACGACCACGACCACGACCCGAGACCAGACGAGACGGACGGCGGCGGCGGCGGTGCGCGAGAGTCCCCCTTGTTCTCTATCACTCAACAAGGAAGTGGGAAAGCCAAGCCTTAAATACCATTCCCAATAGTGTTTCCAATACAACGTGGGATTGAGCATTACCAACACTTGTTTCTAATACAATATGATTATTCAGGAAACAATTAACAATCATGCAACTTAAAACAACTAAATCAGCAACCAATTGCATTAGTATTATACGATTAAATATGTCATAATTAAAAGTCAATCTACAATCAATCGCGATTATTGCAATTTTAAGCAAAACATTCAAAAATAATATCACTATTTAAGGCTCAATCCCACATAGTATTAGGAACAAGTGTTGGTAATGCTCAAATCCCACATAGTATTGGAAACACTATTGGGAATGGTATTTAAGGCTTGGCTTTCCCACTTCCTTGTTGAGTGATAGAGAACAAGGGGGACTCTCGCGCGCCGCCGCCGCCGTCCGTCTCGGGTCGGGTCGGGTCGTGGTCGTGGTCGTGTCGTGTCGTGTCGTGTCGTGTCGTGTCGATACGTGTCTTCGACACGTCCGCGCGGATACTATCTTTTTAGAGAAAATTCTTAAGAAACAAAATCTTTTTTTTTCAACGAATTTGGAAAATCGCAACGACAACTGTAGACTATCGCAACGAATTTGGAAAATCGCAAAGACAACTGTAGACTATCGCAACGCGAAATGGAAAATCGCAACGCGAATTTGCGATAGTGGAGATCGCAATGCGAATTAGAGATCGCATTGCGATTTTGTTAGTCATTTTCGTAAATCCAAAAAAAATTGGTCAAAATCGTATATTATCTGGGATTTTTGGTCACTGAGGTTATTTTCTCTTATTGATATGAATTTGTATCTTCAATATCTATTATTGAGAGAAGTTAAACGAACAGTTTAACAATCAATCTTGACAAGCAGGGACCTTTTTATAATTTTATAAAAATAAAGGGACTAATTTTTAATTATCCTATATTTTTATTAATACGCAGTTTTCAACAACAAATGCCATAATGTATTTTATCACATGTATACACACCATCATAATTAAAAAAAAATTTACCACTTTTACAAGATATGATGTACTAATTTTTTTAAACCCTCGGCAAATATATTTGATCGATTAATCAAGTTGTTAATTTTTGTTCTCTTGTATTCGTTTAGGTTATGAGTTCTAAACCTAGTAGGAAGACTCTCATTCCTTCCTAGTCCTCTCTTCTCCTCCCTCTAAGTAAAATTCATATTAGATTTTGAATTTCTAAAAAAAAAAAACTTTTTTAAACCCTTGCCTCAAGTTTGGCAATTCTAGATATCGTTCTTTTATTTTTAAATACTATGTTATGTATTGTAAAATATATGTTGAAAAATATTAATGTTGACATCGTCATTAATAATTTTACATTAAGAAATGTTCTAAGGCAATATTATTTTACAAGTATTTGTATGCTTACATATATTTCTAATATTTTTAATATTGTAATGAATTGCTATTTGTTTAATTTAATAAAAAAATCTAATAGAATTTTTCATCCTTCCCTTTATACCTTAATTTATGATATTTATCAATCACTCTTCATCATCAAATTACCTCATGGATTTTGAAAAATTAACTTCCAAATTATGAAATTCTTCAATAATTTGTTGAAGAAAAACAAAACCTATTTTTTTATATAAAATTTTCAGTGAAAATAAGGGCAAGTTGAAGATGAAAATAAGTAAATTTGACGAGGATAAGAACACATTTTCTTCCTCTTTTATATCCTTTATTATTATTATTATTATTCAATAATTTGCTTGAATCCCAGCAATTATTGCAGCTTCATATCCATGGGAGACAAAGGCTTAAATTCTCACCATCCAAATAATTACTCAAGACTTTTTAATAAATAAATGGCCAAATGCTAGGGTATCTTGCCGACATGTATCACCAATTTCCAGTTATAATTATAGCTCTCCTTGCCCACGTGAAACATAATATCCATACAATTATTTTACATGTTATTTTATTATAATCTCTTATCAGTTATCACATCAATATTCTGCTGTCTTCGTCTCTTACACGTGATCCTCATGGCATGGGTTTAACAACTTGCATATCGTTAAGTATAGGTTGAATCACTTTATTGGTCCCTCGAGTCTTCAATAAAACTTTATGCCCAAAACTACTTGTTTAGTCCCTCTACTTTTAAACAGTAAAATATTAACTACTAGATTTACTACCCATACTTAATAACTCACAAACAATAACAATATTTTTTAATGGAAAAAATAGTCTAACAATCAAGACGGATGTACGTGACTCCTTAAGAAAACAATTGCACACCAATTATTTTGGAAAACAATTAGATTTAATTTAATTTAATTTATTAATAAAAGTGAAAAAAATAAGAAAATTTGCACACCAATTTCTCCCTTCTGTATAGGAAAAGAGCAATGCCAAATGAGTTCTACTTTCTCACTTTATTTGTACGATGTTCGAAAACGTTCGCTTCCATGATTACACAAATCTTAGGTAAAATTACATCTAAGACAATAAATTTTATCATGACACAATAATTATATCACTATTATTATTTATTATTATTTATGATCATTAATGTTAACTTCTTCAATTTGTAATATTTTTTGCTAAAAATTTTAACAATGTCCTTGATATTGCCTCTAAGAATTTTATTTTATTTTTTCGCTCAACAATATATAATTTTTATTGAAGGGAGATGATCATATAAAATCACCTTATACCTCATTAAAAAGAACTCTTTCAAATAAAAGGAGAAAAAAACGTATAATGATGATCAATGTTACAAAATTTATGATAGGCAGAAGAGAAAAAAGAACACATAACGATGATCAAAGGAAAAAACATAATACAAATCAACATAAAACTAAAACAAGTACTCTTACTATAACAAAACCAACGTAAACATACAAACAAATCATCTATTTAGCTGACTATCCCACATTACAACTTAGTCTTTTAGGCGCAAAGATGAATGACCGTAAATAAAGCGTAAGCTTTTTCACAATTGCTGCTGCAATAATCACTGTTTTTTGTGCAGGTTGCGTACGAAGAAAATGTTGGCCAAAGGGTTCCTGATATTGGCGTCGACGATGATCGATAACGGCATAACTTCGTTACGAGCAGCCGTAACAGTTGGAGTGGGTGCAGTTAAAAAGAACCACAACCAGTGCAACCAAAAGTAAAGCAAACTTATTGGATTCATGATAAATTTTCTAAAGTAAATTACAAGTATGTTGGTTTCATTAAATTTTTTAGGTGTTTTTATTAGGTTATTGAGTGTCTTAACGTTATTTTTATTTTACTGCGTCCACATAGACAAAAAAAGAAAGATCAATTTTAGATAATGATTCAAAATCTTACTACAACAAATAGAACCCAACAAGTTTGCTTTACTTTTAGTTGCCATGGCAGCCATGCTTGTAGTCATGACGGCTCTATCTTTGGTCAGCATTTTCTTCGTCGACGAAGCTGCTGTAAAATGTAGTCGTTTGATGATCAAACCGAGTCAATTTAATAGGTAATTTGTTCGTATTGTTGGTTTGTATTTTGTGTTATGTTGTTTGTCCCCTAAACCTATAAAAAGGGTATGTATTTTGATAATATATTCTCTTTATTTTGAATGAAATGTCTATTTAATTGCATTAAATAATTAAAATTTATGAGATATGTTTTTTACTTACAAAATATACATGTTTTAGGATATTGTTTTGATTACTCAATTAATTTAAATTGAATATTATAGAGGTTTATACAAGTAATAAGTACATAGCATACATCAGAAAAATTTATTTAGGGGTGTAATGAATAGAGCGTTCGATGAACTATTTGTATGACATTCGTTTATTACGTTAAATAAACGAATTTAAACAAAAAAAATATGTTCATTTAATAAACAAACGAACATGAAAATATATGTGTTCGGTTCATTTATGCTCATAAACAAACTCATTTATCCGATTCTCTTTTTCCTTTTTTTTGTTTACATTTTAAATATTTGATGAAAGTATGAACTAAAATGAATATGTGGTGAAATTTAAAGTTCAAACTGTGAAACCTAATAAATTTAAAGACTAGTGGTATAATTTTTGAACATATAAATAAACAGTAAAATATAAACAAGCATCTTGACGAACACTAAATAAATATGTTGACAAACATATAAACGAATATATTCATAAATATTATATGTACCATACATGAACATAAATATAATATTAAAATTTTAAAGGAATACAAATTAAATATAAACATATTAAAAAATAAAAAAAAATATAATCTTTTCATTAATACTTCTGTATTATTCTAACGTTACCTGTATTGTGGTGCATGAACTGTGATTATGAAACCTGAATCTCTGAATCAATGGAAGTGAGAAGAAACAAAAGCAATGCACAAACCAATCCCACGAAAGCTTATCATCAGAGCTGTCAACACTTGGACTTTAGCCATAAAAAATGCTTCCTCTCCTCATCAAGCCTTGGACCTTTACACTCGAATGCATCGCCAATCGGTTCCTTTCAATAGTTTCTCAATTCTCTTCACTCTCAAGTCATGTGCTCCTTTGAAGAACCCCAGCCTCATTTCCCACCTCCATTGTCATATATTGAAATTGGGTTTCGTTTCCCATGTATATGTTGCCACTTCTTTGCTGAATGCGTACGTTGTTTATTGTTTTGATGACGCGTGCAAATTGTTCGATGAAATTCCTGACCGAAACATCATTACCTGGAATACCATGATAACTGGGTATTCGCGGTCTGGGGATGTGAATAAAGCGTATGCCTTGTTCAAGGCGATGCCTTTGAGGGATGTTGCTTCTTGGTCTGCAATGATTGCGGGTTTTATGAATAACAGGGAAAGGAGATGTGGGTTCGGTTGTTTTCGAGAAATGGTGGCAAATGGGAGGTGCCAACCTGATGAAGTTTCCGTGGGATCGGTTCTATCGGGTTGTGCTCACATGGGTTCTCTTGGATTGTTGTTGGGAAGATCGGTCCATGCATTTGTAGCTAAAAATGGGTGGAACTTGACTGTCGAAATCGGCACGGTTTTGGTAAATATGTATGCTAAGTGTGGTTTTTTGAAGTATGCTTGTATAGTTTTCAATGCTATGCAACAAAGGAATATAATGACTTGGACGGCATTGATTTGTGGATCCGCACAACATGGCTACAGCGACGAGGCACTGTCGATCTTCGAAGCAATGCAAGACATGGGAGTGAAGCCAAACGAGATGACATTCACGGGCGTTCTCAATGCATGTGCGCGTAAAGGTTTAGTAGAGGAAGGCCACAAGTATTTCAATATGATCGAACAATATGGTTTGGAGCTTAGGATTCACCACTACGGTTGCATGGTTGACTTGTATGGCAAGGCAGGTTTTCTAGAAGAAGCCTATCGGGTTATCAGAACAATGAAAATTGAACCCAATGTCGTTATCTGGAGCTCCTTTCTGTCTGCTTGTAAGGATCATAAGCAGTTTCAGATGGCTGACCGAGTGATCAAGCAAGTCATGGAAACGGTAAAGCCAAAGAGCGATGGCGGCGTTTATTCGCTTATATCCGATTTATATGTTCTGAATGAGAAATGGGATGATGCAGAAAGAGTCAGGAAACTAATGGTTAATCAAAATGTGAGGAAGACTAGGGGCTCCAGTTTTATTAGGAGTTCTTGAATTCTGGAAAGCAATTAGTTTCTTCTTAAGATTTATGTTAGTCGGACTTGAAACAAACTAATCCATTGGTTGAACCAATCATGAATGGAGGAGAGGTCTGTGGTTTTCGTCCCCTGAGCGCATTTTTGAGAGTTGACAACAGTTAAAAGTTGCATTTACAGAGCAAAACGATGCCTCATTTCATGAGTGATGATAATGTAGATCACTGGTACTCTTAATGATTTTAATATCCCGATTCGGATAGTTTATATTGCGATACATTAGATGAAATTAGCTACATGGAAGTGAAGGGATAGTCTCCAAAGATATTGTGTTGTCTTTCTAGAACAATAGTAAACATCTTGAGGTATTAGGATCAATTGTTAGATTATTGCGGTTTCTAATATGAGATTAATTATCAATTTCAATTCTTTATTTAATAAATTTTAGATATTGATGAAGTTTTAGTCTTTTTAATAAAATAAATACAATTTCGTCTCTTGATTTTATTGGGTGATTGGAGGTACGTGCATTATTGTTGTTTATTCTATATCTATTATTTGCGTCTGCAAATGTGAGAATTCTGTGTTAACTTTGAAGGTGATTTCCATTGTTTTAATTACATCCATTAGAATAAAATTACTTTTAAATTAATAATTTTTATATAATATTATTTAATTATCATTATTAAATTTTTATTTTACAATAGTCTTACATGTTATAAAAACATTATACTATAAAATATACCATATTGTATATGTTTATGATTGAAAAGTCCTATGTAAGGACATATTTTACAAGAGAATAATAATAAGATTTAATAGGGAGGATTAGACGTTTTTGGTATAATCACGAATATTCGATCTATTGACCAGTTAATCAGGATCGGGTACTGTAGAAGTAAGGGAGACTCTTCTGACCCAGTTTACTCCATTCACAAACGTCATGATAAACTATTAATACAATATGCAATCAATATTTTATAAATCAACTCGTTTAATATCAATTGAGTTTAATTCTATTGTATATTTTAAATACATTTGTGAAAAGACATAAAATTAAATATTTTTTAATTTATAGGTTGTAAAAAATTTGAATAGTATAAATATTATATTAAATGTTAAAAATATAGTTTATGCATTAGATCTATGATTTTTAGTTACACTAATATCAAATATTTGCTTCAGTCAAATTATGAAATTAAAAAAAATCATCATGTAAAATAATAAATACATAATTAGAGTAAATTTAAGTTTCTTATATATGAATTTAAATTAAATTAAATTAAAACTCATTTAATCACTCATATTTAAACAACAATACTTTTATTATATATATATATATATTAATAATCTTTTAAAATTGAACTTTATATCTCATAATGTGTGTGACAATTATATTATTTTGAGTTTTTTATGTATTTTTTTATATATTTTATATAATTATTATATTTGATTTAATGATTGAATAAGTGAATAGCATAATACAAAGATTTGTTATAGGAATGATTCTTTCAATTAGTTTATTTCATTCATAGTATCATAAATTTAATTTTGAAGGTTATTTATAAAATTTAACTCCTCATCCTATTTAGACCAACAAATAGTTCTTTAATATTTTTAATACAATATCTGAATCATCTAAATCTATAAATAAAAAATAATTATATTTAAATTTACGTATCACAATTTTTATAAAATAATAATTAAATTAAAATTTAATTGATATATTTAATATTTATATAATTAAAATAAATTCATATAAATTCATAAATAATTATTTTAATTAATTCAATATTGTTGTGTAAAAAATCTAAATATTATTATTTTTACAAATTAGGCGTAAATGGTTTAATTAATTTTATTTTTTTTAAAATCAAAGAAGCCTAAAGTCAGCGAGCCATGGATATAGATAACGAAGACATCGGTAATTTTCAGCTCAGATCGAAAAAGAAGAAGATAGCTGCGAACTGAAAAGAATAGAACAGGAAGAGAGAAATGGAGTCGACGGAATCTTCTTACGTGTCATCACCGGAGGCAGCGAGAAATAGATATCCACCGCCGCCTAAATCGCCGACTTGTGGTAATTTCTGATCGGATCCTTTTTCTATCTTTTCATTGAACTGTCTCATTTCTGTGTTTTTTGTTTATTTTTTTTCTGCTTTTGAGTTCATGGAGTTGTATTTTTCTGTTTTTATTTATTTTCTTCTAATGTAAAGGTTAATTTGTGGAATTGTTTGAATTTCGAGTTTTTGTTTCATTTATTAGTTTATATCTGTTGTTTACTATAGAATTTTAAATCCTAACCGTAGCATTATGTTTGGTTGGTGTGAAATGGAAAATGGAGAGCGAGAGGAAGAAGAATGTGTTCTGAGTATTTAGCTTAAGCTTGAATGCTTTCTTAACTTGACCAGGGATGAGTTTCGAATTTCTATTTTGATGTGTATCCTTATATTTGGAGAGCATCAAGTTAATTTTGGTATGAAATGTACAACATCAATAATACATCCTGTATTCTCTTTCGGCTTTTAAACATTAAGTGATGAGGTGAAAGGGATCCGAGTTGTTATGGACTTGCCAAAAGGGGGAGACAGGGACCTTGGCCCCTCTTTGGTCGTCCTATTACACTAGTTTGTTTAGTATTCTGCTTCTCGAAATATGGCAAAGATCTGATTTTCTACGTTTTCATATGTGAGATCAACAATATTACTAACTGAAATATCATCAGAAATGCAAGGTGGTGTGCTTAATAAGCAATACTGTTGCTTTGAAGCTACAATATGTGTATTGCATTTAATGCTTTTACTGCAATTCTTTGTTTATTAGTAATTGCTTATTGTCTGGAGTGATATGTAGTTGCTATTGTGTAGTATCTCTGTTATTTTTATTGTAGTTTTTCTTCTTATTTGTTTTCTTGGCTATAAGGGAGAGATTGCTCTGATTGTTGAAACATTCATGTTTGTTTCGAAAAATTATCAACTAAAATGCATTTATGATCCATAAATCAACTGATGATTTTTTCCCATTCGTTTTCTGTCAGGAAATGAGGAGAAGCCTGCACATATAAGGTTTCTTGTCTCCAATGCAGCGGCTGGCTCTGTAATTGGAAAGGGTGGTTCAACAATTACTGAATTTCAGTCAAAATCAGGAGCTCGAATTCAGTTGTCACGCAATCATGAAACTTTCCCAGGAACATCAGACAGGATCATTATGGTCTCTGGAACAGTTGACGACATAATCAAAGCTATGGAGCTTATCCTTGCAAAATTATTGCATGAGGTGATCTTATTATGACTTTCAAGTTTTGACTATTAAATTCTCTTTCTGATAATAACCTAGGTTTGTCTTTCCGTGGTCAGTTTAATATTGAAGATAATGATGATGTTGGACCAAGAACAAAAGTGAGGCTAATTGTTCCTAATAGCTCTTGTGGCAGCATAATTGGGAAGGGAGGGTCTACCATAAAGTAAGAAGTCTACTTGCTCTGATTAATGTTCATGTTTTTATCGCCATGATTTTGATTTACCAGTGAAATATTTTACTTCTCACAGTTTGAAATCAGCGAAACTTGAATTTATTGTTTTTAGTAGTGTTACAAAATTGAAGCGTGCTGAACAGACTTATTTATGAAGAATGCAAGTTTATTCTTTCGTTGTACTGATAATTTTCAGGGGATAAACTTTATAAAAAATTTAACCTGTGGTTGATTTAATATTTTACTTCTCACAGTTTGAAATCAGCGAAACTTGAATTTATTGTTTTTAGTAGTGTTACAAAATTGAAGCGTGCTGAACAGACTTATTTATGAAGAATGCAAGTTTATTCTTTCGTTGTACTGATAATTTTCAGGGGATAAACTTTATAAAAAATTTAACCTGTGTTTGATTTATAGTATATTCATGTAGGCTTTAGTGGTGAACAAACCACTCAGTTTGGAATTGAGTCATGTGTGAGAATGTGTACAATAAAACTTATACTTGACCAAGTTGGGGATGATCTGCGAACTTCACAATCAAAGAGTTGGTACAATAAATTTGTGAGCTAACTTGGGGTGATGGCATTGGGAATGATAAATTATTGACAATAGGAATGAGTTTAGTAATTGACATAGTAATAATTTTTATGCATCATAGATTCGTAGTTAATTATTTCTTGGATGAGCCTATTAATAACCAGCTTATGCTCTAAGTAGTTCAGGCATATATGGCAAAACGTGGTAAGTTACAGGAGATTTAATTTGTCAAAGACCTGACCAAGGTCAAATCTATATCATGGTGAAGTCTTCCCTGGAATTGACTTTGATCAGAGTCCCAATGAAGATAAAAGCATGTCAGCGTAAAAGATAAATAAATAATAAATATAAATTCTCCGTCGTTTTTTTGGAGAAGCTTCTCTTGTCATTGCCTTTTTGTTTCATTATAACACCTAAAGATATGGTAAGTAAAGTATTATAGGTCCCTTATTTGAGTATTGGCTTCCTTAAACAGATAAGGCAAGTTCTTATTGTTATTTTTGCTTTGTTGTAGGTCATTTATCGAAGACTCCCAAGCTGGCATTAAGATATCTCCACTTGATAATAATTTTTATGGCTTGAATGATAGGCTAGTGACACTTATTGGCACACTAGATGAGCAGATGCGAGCAATTGAATTGTTGCTTTCCAAACTTTGCGAAGACCCCCATTACTCTCAAGCTATGCATGCTCCATTTTCATATGCAGGTGTGTTCTCTTAGTATCTGGCTGCCGAGTCTAAACAGACTCCTGCGGTTGCATTAATTGTCTCTGTTTTATGAACTGTGAACACTATTGTTTTCTTTTATTCCATATTTTTTTAAGTATTCCATCTTTCTCTTTCATGTATCATAATTCCTTCTGTTTCAACAGTGACTTACTATTCAATGAACTATGCACCAAATGGGACTGGCGGGAAGTTTCCGAATCACAAGGTTCATCTCTTTCGGTTTTGCTTTATCCATACTTTTTACACTGTTTACTACTAAGCAAAACATAAATAGATTTATTGTTTTAGTTTGGTATCAATATAGATTATAGTCGAATGCTCGTTTTGAATGATTTATGCCAAAATCATTATAATACTTTTTGTAGAATTGTTCATTTAACAATTGATGATTGCTGTTCTAAATTAAGGTCTCGTGCTATATGTGTACACTGTAGTTAAACACATCTTACTTGACTGAATTTTTCATATGTCTATTCAGGAGGATCATAACAACTCCATCACGATCGGTGTTCCGGACGAGCATATTGGACTGGTTCTTGGTCGTGGTGGAAGGAATATAATGGAAATTGGTCAGGTCTGTAAATGATAAGTATATAGCTTTTTGATTCAATAATTTTGCTCATGTTCTGAATTTGAGCACACTTTGTCATTACAGGTAAGCGGGGCCATGATAAAAATATCGGATCGGGGCGAATTGATGTCTGGAACAACAGATAGGTAAAAAAAAAGGGGGGGGGGTCCTGCGTTAATCTACTAGCTAAGCATCATTTTCTTAAAAGTACCCTCTTCTATCTTCTTCCTTGTGTTACAGGAAAGTCACGATCACAGGATCACAACGATCCATCCGTCAAGCCGAGTCTATGATCATGCAAAAGGTAGCAAATGCCACCGAGAGGTCGATGGATTAGTTTTCCAGTAATAAAAACCAACAATTCTTGTTAAGTCTTCCGACGGACCGAAACATATATGCATTCATTGACATGCCATGAGTCGACAAAGTTGAGTGTATTGTCGTAGGCAGCAAGAAAGTTAGTGATCAAGCAGAGCTCGTATTAGTTATTCTTCATAAACTACAGACTAAATTTGCTGATTTAAGGGAAAGAAAAATTTTGTTGACCAAGAAATCGAATTAGCATCCTTTTATTCAAGTTCGAATTGGATCGGATTATATGCTTGTTTATTTATCGATGATTGTATTCTTTCTTCATTTATAAATATTAATGTAACACTCCAAATTTAACTTGAAAAAATTCAGAGAATCCAAATTACTAAAATGAGTTAGTGAAGCGATCAATAACTTAAACGAATAATATTTTTCACTTGTATCTAAAAGTAGCATTTATATAAAACAAAACATGAATTTGATAAGTAATAAATAGAGTTTACATATCAAATATAATACTAATAAAGGGGTCTACTGGTATATACTCTCATTAAAGAAGTAAAGCTGTTGCACTATGTAATATTGATGTTGAATTTCTTTCAATGATGTCGTTGTCTCGACTCGAACATAAAAATTATGAATTTATGTAAAAGAATAATTAAGACGTGGAGTTTTATGAAATTTAATGATACATATCTATATTGTACAAAATTAGCAATAGCAATATTACTCGGAATCATACAAACAGCTATGTATCTTGTTTGTCATACACATAGTGAGGGTTACCATGTCTTATTGTATCATATATGCATCATAACAATAGTAATAATCGAGTGTACATATATATATATATTACTAAAAACATATTGAACCCTTATTTTCTCATCGATTGCTCTTCAAAATATTTATATAATATATAAAAAATATATTTTATAAAATTTAAAAAATAATAAAAGAGAATCTGCTTCTTCAAAAATCTCCAGTCATAGAAAATAAAAAAAAGTAAAAATGATTACTTTACCCTTACAATTAAGTAAAGCAGACTTTAATAAAGTATTCTTAAAATATTTTAGCATATCAAACTTCTTATTGGTTAGGAAATTTGGTAAGACTTATTCTTAATTAATTACTTGTATAATCTTACTAGCTTAACGAACAACCAGTCAAGTCGAGTAACAATTTTTTTTAACAAGCATGAGTTGAGCACTACCCGACTCGCAACCGACTCGCAACCGACTCGCTTGATTAGCACCCCTAGTGTCGAGAGTTCTAACAAAAGAAAAATGGTTATCCTTGCAAATAAGCAAAACACAATGCTTTAACCAAGGGAAAAGAGAATTTTCAACATGCTTTAACCAAAGTGCCAAGTTTATATTTCGGTTCAAGTCACTCTTTGTTGGTACCTTACATGCTAGGATTAATGTTAAAATGCTTTATTATTTTTTCTTTTCTTTAATTTCTTTGTTGTAAGAAATTATTATATATTGTTTGAACAACTAGTCATCATTCATGTGACATCTCAAATTTATTGGACTAAATTGTAAGGCATTCAAAATTTATATGACTTTTTGCAAGATCTCAAAAGTAAAGGGAATAATATCTTAATTTACCCAAAAGTTAATATTGTAAAACCCTTTTCCCTTCCTTTCTTGGGGATTAGGAAGGGAAAATTCTGGATACTTGATTTACTTTCTTCTTCTTCTCTTTGTTCGTGCCTTCTTGGGGTTAAGGTGAATTTCTTTTAAGTTGTTGATTTTCTTAAATTATGGGGTATATTAAAGTTTTAAGGGATAGAGAAGATCAAGGAAGCTTGAAAATGAAGAAAAACTAAGTTAAATAAGGAGTTATTAGGGAATGAATTATTTGGGTCTTGAAGTGAAATTGTAAATTGGTTGATAAATGGATTTTTAAAGATAGAATTGATTTGTCAAAATCCTAGCTAAGAGATTTGAAGTGTTAGAAATCACTTATAACATGTTTGATTAAATGATATGAATTTTAGTTTTAAGTATATTATTGAGAAATTCGGATGTTATAAGAGGATTAGTGAAGATAAGTGATTATTATTAGTATTAGTGAGTTTGAGGAAATGATTGGAGTTAAAAGTAAAAGATTTAGATGATTTTGGGTTAAAATTCGAAGTGGAAGAATTGAAATCTGCGCAAGATTATTAAGCATAATTTTCATGAGCATCCCTTGGTGTTTGTGGAAAAGCAAATCAATGAAGGTGAGGGGAAAGCTTACTGCTCAGCATGTGGGGATGTGATTTCAGATCCATGTTATAGTTGTGTACTCTGCAAATATCACCTCCAGTGCCTTTGCGCCCAAGTCAATTTTCAATCACCCTCTCTATCCCAAGCACTTACATTTCCTTCTCCGAGAGAGGCCAAATCCTAGTAATAAGGTATATGGTTGTGCATTATGCAAGGAGAAACGTAATATGTTCTTTTATGAATGTGATAATTGTTACTCTTCCCTTGACATCAAATGTGCTGATTTATCTTCTTCATATAGTAAGGTCAACCAAGAGTCCAAACATGTTTTCCACCCACATCCATTGATCTTCATTCAAAATCCCATGGATGAACACAAAAGCTTGTGTTGCCCTTGTTGCTATGAACCCTTAGTTGGTGCATTATATATTTGTGTTGATTGTCCTCTCATCTTTCATAAGACATGCATTGATGGATCCAATAAATTTAAACACCCTTCCCATCGCACACACCCTCTTTTTCTTGTGTCTAATGAGAGTTTCCTCTTTTGCAAACTATGCCAAAAGCAACATTGTGGATTCTTTTATTGTTATTCGCTTTGCGATTTTACGATCAATATTTTCTGTGCTTGGTCAATTCCCATTGTTGAAGATAAAAGCCGCAACCAGCACCCATTTACCTTACTTTGGAGACGAGGCTCATTCATTTGTGATGCCTGTGACACGGAGGGAAACTATATGTCTTATACATGTTCTCAAGAGCATACAAGAAAATATTGCAAGATTTGTTTCAATGAAGTGAAACTTGAGGGTCGGAGTTACTCTTGTGTGAAGGCCGGTTGCAATTACATTGTCCATGTGAATTGTGCCTTAGAGGATTACAGATTTTACGAGGTGGTTGAGCGAGAAAGCCAATGTGAGGAGCTTTATGGAAGTTCATCTAAATATATGCTGTCTTCCATCAATCGTGTTATTGAGGTGAGTGAAGAAGGGGAAGCCACAAAGATTGAACATTTCAGCCATGAAGGTTATTGCTTGGTGTTAGCAGATAAGATGGAGGAGGAAACTGATAGAAAATGTGATGGGTGCATGCTACCTGTCTCTCTGCTTTATTGTTGTTCAGAATCAGAATGTAATTTTTGTCTTCACAAAAACTGCTCTGAGTTGCCAAGAGTAAAGCACCACTGGTCTCGTCGATATACTGCCACTCTCAACTCCTCAATCTTCAAATTATGTGACTTGTGCAAACGATTATGTAGTGGTTTCTTCTACGATATTGGAGGATTCGACGTTTGCTTAAGGTGTGCTAAAGTTGCTGATATCATGATTTCAAATGCAGCGAGCGATGTAATGGTTGTGGCGCTTACTCAGGTTCGTATGGTGCATTCAGATGTGGGAAGTGCAGTTTTACTTTGGATTTCAAATGCTTATCATTACTACATTCAGTTCTTCACAAATTTGATCAACACCAGCTATGCTTACCTATCATGATGATAATGATTATTCAAAGCATCGTTATTGTAACATTTGTGAAGGGAAAAGAGATCCAAGTCTCTGGTATTATTATTGTTCAATCTGTGATAATTCTGCTCATCCCAATTGTATTTTTGGAGAATTTTCATTTATCAAGGATGGGATCACATTGCCTTTTAATCGTCACAGACATCATCATGATCTTCAGTTTCTTAGGAAGGCTGAGGACTACCTTAACTGCTCGTACTGTAGTCAGCGTTGCCGAGAAGAAATTCTCAAGTGTATAGAGTCTACATGCAACTATATTATTCACTGCAAATGTCGGTAATTGGATCTAAAATATTCAAGTAAGTAGTTTAAATAATTAATGAACCATTATTCTCGTTAATTACCATTGATTGCTAACATTGCATGATTTTGTTTTCATTTATTAACATTAATTTCAATTGTCTTCATTGATTGTATATGTGTTTCGCTCGAAATGAAAGGTTTAGAGGTCTTATCGAATTCAGGGAGTTCACAAACGAGAACGATTTCACATTTCGTTTCTACTACTTCGAGGAAAAGGATACTCGAAAACCTTCAGTGAGCTTTATCTATGATTCTAAGTTATTATTGTGTGCGTTGTATGATTAATGGTTTTGTGTGATTAGATTTCAATGTCATTACAGGGTTTGTTTAAGATTTGTTTGGATTTGTGTGATTTGATTTCAATGTTACTTTGAGGAAAATTTGTCCAAGATTTGTTTGGATTTGATTTCAATGTTACTTTGAGGACATTTCTTTTAAGACCTACCCAGTTTTTATTACACATTCAACCTGCAAATGTATCAAAAAGTTACACAATTTGAGGCATGTGGGCAGAACAACAACAAAAAAAAAGGGCAGTTTTAAATGAACGTATTATACAGAAACAACCGCGTTTTGGTACACAGAAATTAGATGCAAACTCAGACTAAGAGCAAAGAGAATGAACTCACTCACTCTTCCCTGCGCATCTTCACATTAAGCTTCGTTTCCTTGTAGGACTGGACCTTCTCGACTGCTCTTCGTAAAGGCCTTCCCCCAGATATCCTTCTGAGTTCTTGAGCTTCAGTTCTAGATGAAACTGTCATATTTCCTTCGTTGTGTTCACTTTTGATTGATGAATCATCAGATGACAGTTGGCCACTTTCGTTCACCTTATCATCATTGGTCGAAGAAACGAGAAATCTCGTATGGTCTACCTCAAACACATCTTTATTCGTTTCTGGTTCTTGTGCTTTAAACCTAACAGATTGTCTTCTTAAACACGCCCTGCAATCAAAACAAAAAAAGAAACCACATATTTTTCCTTTGTCATTGTGAAGTTTTCACATAATAATAAAACTAAAGATGATTGAGAATGATTTGCACTGAGCAATTAGAAATGTGCAAAAAAACCTTTTGTTGCCAATCCCCTCCTTGGATTGGACTGGTTTGATATCAGGGCCACTCTCATACACCTTATCATCACTGGTTGAAGAAACAAGAAATCTCGTTTTATCTACCTCAAATACGTATTCAGTTGCTTCTGGTTCTTGGGATTTATGCCTAACAGATTGTCTTCTTGAACATAACTTGCTGGATAAACATAAAGGAAACCATAAATTTCCCTTGTCATTATGAAGTTTTCAAATTAAAAAACTAACGAAGACGAAATGATTTGTACTGAGCAATAAAAAATGTACAAAAACCTTTTGTTTTCGATCCCCTCCTTGGCTTTGACTGGTTTGATATTAGAAGGGCCACACTCAAGAACCTTATCATCACTGGTAGAAGAAGCAAGAAATTTTGGATCATCTACCTCGAATACGTCTTCAGTTGTTTCTGGTTCTTGTGTTTTACTCCTAGCAGATTGCCTTCTTAAACACACCCTGCTAAGAAAACATAAAAGAACCCATAAATTTCCTTATAAGTTTTGACGAATAAGAAATACACTTCTATTAGAAAACTAATTTGCGAAAAGCAATTAAAATGTACACAAGCCTTTTGTTCTTGACCAATTCCTTGACTTGGACTGGTTCAACATTAGAAGGGCCTGAAGCAGCATGAAAATGATAAATTACGATGGCACAATGAACGGTTAATAACTTTCAACTAAAGTTTCTGTCAAGCAAATTACCAAGACAGTATGATTGCCGCTTCCTGTTCATATTACAATGTTTATCTTCTCCTTGATCTTCTTCATGCGATTCATCTGCCTTGCTACACCTGTTCACATTACAAGGTTTACCGTCTCCATCTTCTTTATGTGATTCAACTTCCATGCCACCCTTGTTTGTTCCAAACTTCAAACCATGGAAAAGATGTGTTAATAACTTGTGATGTGGATTAGAAAAATCAATATAGACGTATTTCTATTTAATGCTTCATTTCAAGGTGTTGGGCAACCCCCATTTTTAGCTTTCTTCAGGTGGCAAACACAAAGGAACCAATAATCAGCGAAATGGAGTTGATATTACAAAAAGTACCTCTGATTTAATTGCTTCGAGCACAGCATTTTTACATCCCAGCTCATGCTTAAGGGCTTTTAGCTGAAAACAAAATGAACTCAATGGTCAAGTCCCAAAAATATACAAAAGCACAAAAGGACAACGCAAGATGAAGTTCAAGAAACTTTAATGTCCTGAAAACTTACCATATCTTTGCTTAAATTAAGTTCCTGCAAAACCAATGTAGGACATCAACCTCACCAGAAGATCATAATGTTATCAAAATATGCCCCTAAGAGTTTTAAACTGAGAAACAGACAGTTACAGAAAAAAAGTACTAAGATACCGCTAACATCTGGCTGTTTGCTTGTGCAAGTTTTAGGTTCTGTTGCTGAAACTTCTCCAAATTGATTCTCAGTTTCTGTAACTCAATCCCACTCAATTTGATAACTTTACTAGCCAAAATTAAGGTAAAAAACAACATAAAAAGGAAAGTCATCAAACACAAATAATAGCAAGCAATGGTTAGAAGGGGAAGGAAAAGAAACAAATACAATCAATCATAGAGGATGCTTTCGATCTGCAATAACTTTCATCAGGATCATATTTTCCTGAAAGACAAATTCAATAAAAAAAATCAATAAGCTAAAGACAAATTCAATAAGCTGTTCAAATTATACCTGTTGAAGCTTGTCGATGAATTCTTTAGTCCCAAGAGAATCAGGTTGCAGCAGCAGCTTTGCACATTGATTCAACACTTCAGGCTGCTGCTTTAAGTTGGAAATGTCAGTAAGCCCTTTCCTCGATGCATTACCCATTGAACACCCATTTTCCATAATCTCCCCTTTCAATTTATTACCTGAAATGAAATTCAACAAACTCAATCTTCCACTACATGGTGGAAGCCATAAAAATGAACTTCTTAACCTCTACATGAGTTCATGGAAATCAAGCTAAACAGGTGACTCTGTATCAAATCAAATTCCAGCATTCCAGCATTTCGCCAGCATTCAAATAAACTGAATAAAGGGATTTCCCTCAATCTTCCAAGTACCTGCAACGGCGGCGGTTCCGGTGTCGAGTATCGTCAAATTTTCCATTTGCATAGACCGAGCTAAAACCCTATTCCTCTCTCGCTGTCTCTCTCTCTCGATTGAAAATGGAAGAGAAAATGGGGAAGGGATATAAAGGGTAAAATAGTAAAAGTGCGTGGTGGTTTAAATTCAGAGTCAAGTCACTCAACGGCTTTCCGAGCCTAAAGCCGAACCTGTCTCAAAACTCTTTATCTAATACAATATTTTATTTGTTATCCCAAATTATATCCATAGAAAATAAAGCTTTAATTGTTAAAAAATACTTTTAAATCAATAAAATAATTTAACATTTTAAAATTATTAAAAATTTAATATATATATATATATATATATATATATATATATATATATATAATTTATGTGTATAAAATAAAATATGATCATTCAAATATTAGTGATATGTCTTTATATTATTTAGAATGAAAAATACATAATTCGACTCGAGATAGTAGTACAATATATTTAAATATTTAAAATTAATTACAATAATATGTTTTCTCCATTTCTTTAACTAGGCCTGAAATATATATATATATATACTGTTGGATCGAATTCAAATTTTTACTTTAAAAGTCGCGTTAAATTTTGAGTTGAATAAATTTCTTTTAAGCTCGAATCAAATTGAATGATAAATAAAACAATAATCGGGCGGGTAGGAAAAATATCTAACCGACCAGGCCCATCTCTAGTTTGGATAAATGAAGTGTGCATACAATTCCTAGAACATGCAACTGGATAAAATAGATAGTTGATTTTATACATACAATATTAGAATATTGCAAGAGCCACCGCCCTGGCCTGTCTTGCCTCGAGCAAATACAATTAGAGGATCAAGGTCGCCTCACTTGCATTTATTGTTATATAAGTTCACGAAATTTAAGCTGAGTTTTAATATATTATTTACATTTCTCTATTTTATATTTAGCACACTTTTTAATTTCTTTGTTTGTCCCGTAAAAAAATTATTATTCTCTCTTTGTTTATATAAAACTTTAAATATGTATTCGTTAAATGATTTATGTATAAAGTTTATACACGTTTCTTCATTGTGAACATGTTTCATAATCATTTTTTATTTCTTTCATTATTGTCTTCAAATTTTTATTTCTTTCATTCTAACTATTATTTTTTAACTCATAATTTGATTTTTTTAATTAATGATACCCTAGTATGAGTTATATACTATACCTTATAACTAAATAACCAAGTTTATTGCTTGATCTATTGGTTTAGTAGTGAAGCTTACACATTTGGGGTCAGTGGTGGATCGAGATAGTTAAGAATGGGGTCCAAAATTTTAAAAAAAATCTTAAAAATAATGGGTATGCAAAAATTTTAATCTTTTTTTCTTTTTTTCCCTTAACACGTCTATGTTTAAGTCCTCATAAAAGTCAAATTTCTATTTCTTTTATTTTATACCAATCAAATGATTTCATATGTTGGTATCCGATTAGTTAAGATTTATTTTAAAAAATAATAATATACAATAAATTTGATATTTTATCATATGTGAACTGTCTTAATCAATAAGATATGTTGATCGACTAATGATTTTCATTTGAAAAAAATGTTTTAATCAAAATAAAACATTGATGATATAGAGTTCTGTAAAAAAAATTCTCATAAGTTGAATGTCAAATATGATGAATAAAATCTAATTGATAAAAAATATGTAAATGTAAGAACTTCATATTATAAAACAATTTCATAAACTATATTTTTAAATAATATTATAACTAATATTTTATTTGAATAAATCAAATATAATAACTTAATATCTAATAATAGACGAAATAGTCGATTGAATAAGCTTATAAAAAAGGGTAAACTAAACATTTAGTATCCCAACTATCACTTTTATTATGTACTAATCACTCAACTATTTTTATTTCAAAACCATAGCTAACATTATATTTTAGTTTTTTAATAATTCATCTTTAAAAAACTAACATTGATGTTGATGTGTTACCATAAGATAATGTCACATCATCATTAATTTTTTAAAAATGTCATGTTAGTAGTTTTGTTAGTTTTTAATTTTGAGTGACTAAAATAAAATCAAAACGTAACGTTATAAATTAATTTTAAAAAATATTTAAATGATCAAAATAGAATAAAAGTAACAATTAGAGTACTAAACGTGTAGTTTACCTCATAGAAAATACATTGCATGATCCTTTGATTAATAAATAAATAAATTTAGATGTCACCCAGCGCATGCATATTGCTTAGCTTCCCTTTTCCTTTCTTGCTAGTTTAAACTTTTCCTATTACACAAAACAGTAAAAGTAAATAAGAAAAGGATCTTTTTTTTTACTTTTTGCTTAAATTATTCTTTATTTTGAGGTGAAGTACAACAAAGGTTACTGAATTAGGTTTAAATGAATTATTTTAACCATCAAACTTTTTAAAATTATAAAATGATCATTAAATTTATTAAAAGATTATAAATATATATATGAAAATTTATTGAACTATTACAAAATTATAATTAAATTTATCTAAATTTTACATTTATTTTAACATTACAGTGAATATTTTGTAATATTTTAATAAATTTAATAATTATTTTATAACTTTTGAAAGTTTAATGATCAAAATTTTCATTGGAGAATAATTCAATGACTTTTAATATGTTATACCTTTTATTTTATTCTATAAATCACTTCACATTTTCCAACAATTTGCAGTCTCCTAAGTTGTGTTTTCGTGCTTTTGAACAGAAATCAGCTAAGCAAAGCCAATTTGCATATATTGTATAAACAAGAGTACCCTTTTATACAGAATAAACAAAACTGGAAGGAAAATTCCAACTTTCCTTGCCATTTGTGGTGCTCCATTTCACTTCCAAGATGCTCCCTTTCACCTGCATTCTCTGGATATGCATCTTGGCTTCAATTCCTTCATTTTCAAGAGCTGCCTTCAATCTCACCCTCCCTCATCAGCACCCTGACCCTGAATCTGTTGCTCTTGATGTTCAATGGTAAGCTAATTTCATTTCAAATGGCTTTTCTTTAGAAACAAACACCCATTTTAGTGTTTTATAACCCCAAATCTTTACCCTTTTTTTGTTTTGTTTTTGGATATATCGAAGATCTTTGCTTTTGGCCTGCAATGGCTTCTCCCCAGTGTGTGTTCTTCACAGAAAGAGAAGGGAAAATACCCACCTTTTTTAGTGTTTTCTTGTTCTTGCCAATTGGATTTTTCAGCTCAAAATATTGTGTTTCTTGAGGATTCTAGGGGGAAATCTGTTTTTTACCCTTGTTTTTACTAAAAATCTTCACTATTTTTGCTTGTAGGAGCTTAAATGCATCCTTATCTAGAAAACGAGCCTTGTCCGTACACGAAAAAGACCAATGCCAGACCGGAAACCCCATCGACGATTGCTGGAGATGCGACCCAGATTGGTACAACAACCGCCAACGCTTAGCCGACTGCTCCATCGGCTTCGCCCGAGGCACGCTCGGCGGGAAAGACGGTCGGATCTACACCGTCACCGACTCGTCCGATCACGACACCGTTAACCCCAAACCGGGCACGCTCCGGCACGCCGTCATCCAAGACGAGCCGCTTTGGATCGTTTTCTCGACCAACATGGTCATCAAGCTGAAACACGAGCTCATCTTCAACTCTTACAAGACCATCGATGGTCGGGGCGCCAATGTTCATATAACCGGGAACGGGTGTTTGACGTTGCAGTATGTTTCGCATGTCATCATACATAACATCCATGTCCACCATTGTAGGCCTTCGGGGAACACCGACATCTCTTCGTCGCCGACGCATGTGGGGCGGAGAGGTAGATCGGACGGCGATGGGATCTCAATTTTCGGGTCTCAGAAAATCTGGGTGGATCATTGCTCGTTGAGTTACTGCACCGATGGATTGGTTGATGCTGTTATGGGTTCCACTGGGATTACCATTAGCAATAGCTATTTTTCTCATCATGATGAAGTTATGCTCTTGGGACATGATGACAGGTACTCTCCATTTCAACACATGCACATACATTTTCAAATTTTCTTTTACACAGAGCAGGTTTTCCTAGAATCAAATCAATTTCAACCGAAAACTCCATGATTAGTCTGCAGCCATTCTACATTTAGTTAGATCTAGTTCCGAATCAACTTGCAATAGATAATGTAGATTTAGATATTTATAAATAGGGTAAATTATATCATATACCATTGAATTTTAGCCGGTGTTCGTATATATTATTAAATTTTCAATTGTTTCAGTTATAGTATTAAATTTTGATTTTGACTTCAGTTGAGTTGTTAAAATACGAACTATATGATCACATGGGAAAAACAACGTCGTTTTGTCTAAAATGATGTTTTAGGCACAAAACTTCATGGGTGTATAGCTTTTGCCACTAAACTTTAAAACAATTTTTTTTTGACAATGCTCTTTTTCGCCTTCCGATGACAATGAATCTTCATCTATCATTGATCGTCTTTTGGGATAAAATCGGTTTGAAAACGTTTGCATTTCACTCTTTTTTCTTTTAATAGGATTGATTTTTCACTTGTTGCCTAAAACGACATCGTTTAGAGTATCAATGGCCGCACCAAAACAGTATTGTTTTGTCCACGTCATCATTTTGATGAGAAGATCTTTTCACTCGTTGTGCCGTTAAAATCTGATGGCCTAATGAATATTGAAGTCGAAACCTAAATATAATGTTATAATTTGAGCAACCGAAAGTTCAATTGTATACATGATACACCGTCTAAATTTGCATTAAATAGGGACCGTAAACGAGGGGCACACATTGAGGTTTTGTCCTCCCGACTCTAAAGAGTTTAATTATGTCATTTTCTGATTCTAAAGAGTTGGAATCGAATCTAGTTTCTCTTAATCGAAAACTAAATTCCTTTTGCATTTTGGTTTAGGTATTTGCCAGATTCAGGGATGCAAGTGACGATAGCTTTCAATGTGTTCGGAGAAGCACTGGTGCAAAGAATGCCGAGGTGTAGGAGAGGGTATATACACGTGGTCAACAATGATTTCACATCATGGAAAATGTATGCCATCGGCGGTAGCGGTAATCCCACCATCAACAGCCAAGGGAATCGTTACACTGCGCCGGGGGACGCCAGTGCTAAAGAGGTATCCGTTTTCTTAATTTTCCATTAGCTTCATTTTTGGCTAAATTACTAAATATATCCTCCAACTTCACTACTTTATTCAAATCAAGTCCCTACATTTATTTTACCTCTATATACACCTTTATTTGTTTTGGTATAAATATCAAGTTGAGGGTTTATTAGAAGATTTTAAGGTTTTTTAAATATTATTTTGGGCCAATATTTTTAATTGTTTTTTTATTCTTGTGTTTAGAATGTGTTTATGGTGGGTGTCTCGTGAAACCCTTTTTATATTTTTTTTTTCTGCAAGTGCACTCTTGTGTAATTGTCTACACTCCACGATGGCGCGTGGATGTTGATGATTGTGTAGGATTTGTGGGTTCGAGTAAAGTTAGCATGTGATCCGGTCTCTACAAGTTTTGATACGATCCTATAGAATTGGATTTTTTTTTAATTTGAATTCAAATCAAGTTTGATCGGGTTATTTTAAGGATATAGTCTGGTCGAGTTCGGATTTAAAGTAAAAATTTTACGATTTGAGTATTATAGTATAAGTTTCTTTATGTATTTAAAGATAATTATAATAATATATCTCTCTATTTTTTCAATTAAGACTATATTTTATCTATAAAAATGATTATTTTAACATAGTTCACAAAGAGCAATCTGAGAATAGTTGTGCTGTGCATGCCATAGAATTGAAAAGTATTGGTGTTTGATATTTGCTTACGATGAACGATATGAGATATGATCCTAAAAAGGACTGGACACTTGAAAATAACCCAGCAATATGGTATCTTATAAGGAACATATACTCGACACTTGAATTAAAATCGGAAGACATTTGACGAAAACACCCCGAGTCTAAGAGTATATTTTCATATGAACAGGTGACGAAGCGAGTGGATACAGACGAGGACTGGGCAGACTGGAACTGGAGAACAGATGGGGACATAATGGTAAATGGAGCGTACTTTGTGCCGTCTGGTGCTGGCAAAATGACTCAGTACATTAAAGCTTCCAGTGTGGACCCTAAATCGGCCGTCCTCGTTGAACAGCTCACTTCAAAGGCTGGCGTTTTTGGTGAATCCAGGTAATCAGAATCTCCATTTGAATAAAATACTAATCCTTTTGCCCATTTGAACCGAATTACCTGTCACTTTTAAGTTACTAATCGTAAAATAATCGTAATCAGAATCTCCATTTGAATAAAATACTAATCGTTTTGCCCATTTGAACCGAATTACCTGTCACTTTTAACTACCTTTGTGTTAATTTAAGTTACACTATGGCGCGTGTGTTTGGTGAATCCAATTGTGAGAGTATAGGACTAGCATTCAACGAATCACATAGCTTTATTACATACTCAGTTGTCCAAATCCGTGTGCCTTTGCATGGGGAAGGTCGTCCCTCTTTTTATGGTACTCATTTCCCTTTTCAAAGGCTGTATCCCTTTCATTCTTTGTTTTCTTCTTCGCCATTTGATTCCCATTGGAACCCGTGTCTTTTTTGCCTTCACTAACCACATAGGTTGTTACCCATTCACGCTAGCCATAAATGATAAAAAAAACTCTTAACGTTGGATAAATTATTCATTTTTTTTTCTGGAACACATTAACCTAACTTCTCATTTTTGGTCAAAAGTGCCTCTATGCGGATTGAGGGATAAAAAATTCGATGTCAATGTACTTCAAGAAGTATCTTTGAAAATATAAAAAGTTGGTATAAGAACTGGTATGATTATCGGATATTGAGAGTTTTCGAGTATAAAGAAGAGTTGTAAAGGGAGAGAGTTGATCTTAGGTGAGTAAGTTGATGTTTCCAGCTAGCAAAGATGTGTAGGGTGGGTTAGTTTTAAATGTGTTACAGTGACAGTGTGGGCACTACTGTATGATGCTTGACCATATGGACAACTAGGTGGACCCTCTTTGCTTCTGTCATGCACTTCTACCTTTTCGTTGTTCCAATTCTTCATTTTTCCTAAAATATCTATATCCAAATACTACGAGGACACGCCCTTTAAAGATCTGATGCATACCTTTGTTTATCGATGTTGAATTGTTTTCACAGGGAAGAGACTGGGAGCTTTTCTTCTCCGGGGTACTCCGGCACAACCAACACTGGCAATGGCGGGTCCGACAGTGATGGCAACTTCTTCGGAATGATATTCGGGAGTGGAGCACCACCGCCCCCACCATCCCGATCAATGGTTTCAATGTTTTGGTCTTTTCTAATTATTCTGTTATTGCATTCGATCACCAACCAAGGTGCTCTGCCATTATTATTATTGTAGTATAAATTCACACTAGAAAAGGAATCAATGATTATTAAGATAAGAAATGAAAGAAAATGTTCTCTCATTTAGTTAGTTTTTTTTAAAATCAATTTATAAAATCAATTTTGTTAAAAACGTATAATTGAATTTTTATTTTTAAGCAAAGAACATGTAGATACATTACGTAAGAGGGCTGGCTTCTTGTTGGATTATATCAAGTATTGCCATAGGAGGTGTATGGAGCCAAGTTCCTCTGAATGGTTTGTCACGGCTCATCTTAGTTAAAAGTATTAGCGATGTTATTCTGAACTCTATTGATCAATCTAAATTTAATTTCTCGACTTTCATGGTTGACCCTATAAAACGTTCGATATTTTATTAACTATTTTTACAATTTCAACATTGTCAATTTCTATTTCAAGTTTCTGGATATTGAGTCTTTGAACGTGAATTGTAATTCCATATATCGTCCATAGTTGAGCAAGAAGAAATGCGGGTTTAGATTTTAACATCTTAATCATATCATTGAGATAAGTAAAAAGTTTAGTTCATTAATTAATCATTATCTTTAATATAAAAATTATTTAATTGATTATACAGATTGAGTTGGTTGATTTGGAATTCATAAGGGCGGCTGATATGGGGCCCACATCAAAGTCGGTAGCATCCCATTTTCTTTGCACTTTTTCATAATATCTACTCCATCTCTTTTTATTGATTTTTGTTTGGCTAATCGTTTTATCATGGTAGTGTACACTTTGCACATGCACAGGCACAGGCACATGTCTCCTTGTTGGAAAATTACTAGACTGTTATTGTCACTTTAGTTGCTAAGAAAGGATTGGTTATGGTATGAGACTCATATCAAGTAAAAGTACATGGATATAATTACGATGAAATTTTAGAGATAAATATAAGTAGTAATAAAATGAGAGTACTGGTTTAATTTTTAATTAAAAACTAGGACGTCATGTTATAATTCGTTTAATTCTGAAATTGATAGGATTTAAGAAGTATTTAAATGAAAAAAAATACGGGTCACAGCTTAATCCACCTAGTTTCAAAATTAAAAGTGATCTATAATGTAATTTGACCAAAAAAAATTGGAAAATTAAGACTCGGTTTGTATAATTTCGAAACTAAGTAACTTATACCTTTTTGACATGATTTAATTTTAGCTTATGTTCATATATATCGGAGGTCTTATGGCTCCTTTTACTTGATTGTTAAAAGTTTCGGTGGAGAAGTGCATGGCATTGAGTGAAGATGGAGATTGTGATGGGGTTTTCCTTTTCGGGGTAAAAAGGATCCAATCATAGACCACTAAGGGTGACTTTAATTAACGGAATTAAATATTATCAGTGGGAATGTAAGATTATCAGGGAATAAGATTACTTAGAATGTTGTATTTTGAGTTTGGTTGATTTAGCAGGAATGTAAGATTACCGTGTTTGGTTAAAGGAATAAAAGATTATTTAAATGTATATTTGACCAAATTATTCTAATTATATATTTGTATAATATTACAAGTTATAAAGTATTTATATATTTTCTTTAAAAAATTAAATTCATAATATTTATATAATTCTTTTACAAAATTAAAAATATAAAAAATGTTTAATGAAAGGGTAAAATTTTATTTTAACCCCTGAACTTCATATAAAATTTTAATTATAGATTTTTTTTGTAAATCTAAAATAATTTAAGGATAAATTTGTAATTTAACCTTTGTAGAATTTTTATTATTCAATGACAGAAGAATAATATTTTTGAAAAAAATAAAAAATTAAGGGCATTTTAGTCTAAAACGCCAGTAATCCAACAATACCTAAGGAAAGGGAGGTAATGACATTCCCGGTAATATACTCCAAAAAATCCACTATTAGTAATAAAACATTACCGAAAATAACATTCCTTGCCAAACCAAACGGGATAATGTGGATTCAATTCCCAGGGAATCTCACATTCCCCCATCCAAACGCCCCTAAGGGGGTGTTTGGTTCAAGGATTGTGGATTCCCATGGGATGTGAATCCCACATTCCCATGTTTGGTTGGCCGAGAATCTCATTCCCGGTAATGTTTTATTACCAATAGTAGATTTTTTGGGGTATATTATCAGGAATGTCATTACCTCCCTTCCCTTAGGTATTGTAACATTACCGGCGTTTTGGACTAAAATACCTTAAATTTTTATTTTTTTTTCAAAAATATCATTTTTCTGTCATTGAATAATAAAAATTCTACGAAGGTTAAATTACAAATTTATCCTTAAATTATTTTAAATTTACAAAAAAATACATATAATTAAAATTTTATGTGAAGTTCATGGGTTAATTTTTTTTACCCTTTCATTAAATCTTTTTTATATTTTTAATTTTGTAAAAAAAATTATATAAATATTATGAATTTAATTTTTTAAAGAAAATATATAAATATTTTACAATTTGTAATATTATACAAATATATAATAAGGATAATTTGGTCAAATATACATTCCAATAATCTTTTATTCCTTTAACCAAATACGGTAATCTTACATTCTTGCTAAACCAACCAAACACAAAATACAACATTCCCAGTAATCCTATTAACTGATAATCTTTTATTCCCGCTGATAATCTTACATTCCGTGAACCAAACGCACCCTAAAAGTAGTTGGTGGTAAAAACAACCTTTCTTGGGTTGTCAAGTGGACCCAATTATATCTTTCCTCAATTTCGGCCGATAACCTAAAGTCCAATTCTCAATCATGCCAATGTGAAGGAAATAAATAATTTAGGCTCAATTATTATACGTTTTTTTAGGGTTCTGTTGCGTTTTTTCTCTCTAAAAAATTAGAGAAATATTGATGCGAGAACATTGTTTTAGGATTTAGAATAAATTTTACCCTAATGGTGCGTTTGGTTTACGGAATGTAGGATTACCAGTGGGAATAAAAGATTACCAGAGAATAGGATTACTGGGAATGTTGTATTTTGTGTTTGGTTGGTTTAGCACGAATGTAAGATTACTGTGTTTGGTTAAATGAATAAAAGATTATTGGAATGTATATTTGACCAAATTGTCCTTATTATATATTTGTATAATGTTACAAGTTGTAAAATATTTATATATTTTCTTTAAAAAATTAAATTCATAATATTTATATAATTTTTTACAAAATTAAAAATATAAAAAAATGTTTAATGAAAGGGTAAAATTTTATTTTAACCCCTGAACTTCATATAAAATTTTAATTATAGATTTTTTTTGTAAATCTAAAATAATTTAAGGATAAATTTGTAATTTAACCTTCGTAGAATTTTTATTATTCAATGACAGAATAATGATATTTTGAAAAAAAATAAAAATTTAAGGGCATTTTAGTTCAAAACGCCGGTAATGTTACAATACCTAAGGGAAGGGAGGTAATGACATTCCCGATAATATACCCCAAAAAATCCACTATTGGTAATAAAACATTACCGGGAATGACATTCCCGGCCAAACCAAACGGGGAAATGTGGATTCCATTCCCGGGAGAATCCCACATTCCCCCATCCAAACGTCCCCTAATTGTTAAGGTCATCTTCATGTGTTGACGACTTTTACAACTGTTGCAGAATGAATGGGTGATAAAATTGGAGTAACTTTTTTCTTCTATGAAGTACTAACGTCCGACACATTATGAAAAATATAAACTCTTAGGGTTCTCTAAATATATGAAAAAACCCGATCATGATCGTGTTAATTATATATTCATCTCCAATACTAACACCCAAAATCCTAAATACCTCTCTCTTCATAAAGATAGCTCTCTCTCGTATACACTATAAGTGCCAAGCAAGGTGAAGAATGGTAGAAGTGTACTTGTCCAGTAACTCAGTTGAAAAGCTGCTATGGATGATCGCAAGTGAAGAAAATACAGACCCGGATTACGGGCGGTCGACAAAAACCAAAAGTGTGCCCTCGAAACCAAGTCGGCTCATTGGGTGGCTGTCCAGAAACCAGAAAAACCATCCAAATGTTAGCAGCATGTCATGAATCTATGCCATGTCCTTCCAAAACACTTAACAGCCTTGTAATTATGATCGGAAAATCTCCAAATTTAAACCTGATCTCGCTAAACGTTGGTAGTTAAAAAAATCAAAACACCGAGTTCCAAATGAAACAGAAACATCATTCAACTATAACTTGATAAAAATTATGTAAAATAGTTAGATTTTCATCGAGACTATGCGTATCGTAAAGATTCTACTCTCTCACACTCTGTATGTCTCCGCTTTTCTCCCCCATGTTACTTTTCTCTTCAATGGTATCTGCACCGTCATCAACCTTTGAACTCTTCTTCTCTTCGATTGTGTCTCCGCTGCAGGCCCGTAAATCGGGATTGTTTCTGTGGTTTAGAGAATGCAACCATAGGCCAACGGTTCCTTCCTCACGCTCCGTGGAGGCGATATGAGAGTATATAAACTTCATTTTGAATTCCTCTGCCTCTTCTTCATATGCTTTCATAGACAATTCTGCATGACTATCTTTCCATTTTTGGTTATAAGACGAAAACAGGCACTCATCCAAGTACAAACCAACCTCAGGTGCAGTCGGTACGTTGATGTGTACATCCCTGAAATTCATTAAGATATATATTGGCCTCAAACGAAAATTCATTTACAACCATAATCTATATTATCCGGACTCTCGTTTTCTCTAAAGTATCTATGTTTAACACTTATGGAGGAAATATCGAGTATATCATGCTAAACACATACCAATTCAACAAGCATCCCAAATCCGGATGGCATAGCAATGCAATGAGAGACAGGTACTTACTTTCGCAATGCAGTTTCAATCAGAGACTCGGGAGCGCAATTCCTCATGACAGCAACTGCCATACCAATCATCTTTCGGATCTGATGAAGCATGAAGCTCTGACCCACAACCTCACACTTGACAAAATCAATGCCCTCCACGGTAACAACTTTGTTCGCATGAAATGAAACAATATATCGATGTGCAGCAGGATCTTCAGCTTTCATCCTTGTAGTGAAGTTATGGAAGTTGTGAGACCCAACATAGTGATTCAATATTTTATTGAACCTCTCCTTCTCTTCCTCACCGTAACATAACTTTCTTTCCTCTTTCTTTTCTACATCAACTTTATCTTCCACAAACCCAGAATCATCCATTTCGGCAACTTCCTCATTCAGTTCAGAAGTCAGGTTATCTTCCTTAATTGTATTTTCACCATCTCCAATGTTCGACGAAATGTCAGGCTGAACAATAGTCGACTTGGCTGCAATAACTTCATTTCCCACTACCCCAGAATCATCCATTTCAGTAACCTCCTCCTTCAGCTCAGATGTTAGTTTATCTCCCATAATTGCGTTTTCTGCATCTGCAATGTTCGATGAAATGTCAGATTGAACTACTGTCGACTTGACTACATAAACCTTATCTTCCTCAACCCCAGAATCATCCATTTCAGTAACTTCCACTTTAAGATCGGACATGAGGTTATCTTCCTTGGTTGCATTTTCTGCATCTTCACTGTTCGATGAAATGCCGGACTGAACTACAGTCGACTTAGTTTCAAAACTACGCTTGCCCATAACACCTATGACTTTACGACCTCTTTCAGAACATTCCAAGCACTTAACAAGCTCATTACCGGACCCTACAGTAGCCATAACACTTTCCCTATCTCGATGACAACAAGGATCAAGAGCAAAAATAGGGATAAGATAAACATACCGCCGTCGATCACAAAACTTCTTTGCATTAAAAGATGCCGTCGCACGCTTATACCCGAATATCCGAATCTGGGTCGGAAGTATTTGATTAAGGCGCTCAACGAGGCCAGGCGGGTCTATGTAGAACCGCCCAGAAATGACTTGGCCCACGGCGCTAACGCCCTTATCGGTTCGGGCCGATCGAGCCCAGTCGTAATGTTTTGGGTTACCACGATCTTGCTCGGGGACAGCGCCGCATTGTAACAGTGCTTCTTCGAGGTCACCTTCGATGGTTTTGGCTCCTGGGTTTTTTTGCATTCCTTGATAACCGACACCGCAGTAGGCAAAGAACATGGCGATTTTGCGGCGTTTGTATCTCCGTTTTTTGGTGTCGGTTGTCGTGGCGACGGCGTCTTCGTCGTCAGACGTGTTGGTGGTAGACATTTTGAGCTTTTTAGGGTCAGGTTCCTGCTGCTGCGGCGGCGAAGAAATGATTTTGGTGACGAGGGTATCCGAAGCGTCCATGTATATAGGGTTCTTAATGTGATGGAGCTCCCCACTTGCCGCAATTCAACTATTGGGGGTACTCGAGCCACCAAGTTATGGTATTTTTTAAGAGTCCCTCAAAGGTGGTTGTTTTGTTTCATTTTCTAACCCTAATTAACTTTTTTTCCTTATAATAACATAAAAGATTAATTTGAAATTTTATTAAATTTTCAGTAATTAATAATATATATATTGATAAAATTTAAAATAAACTTATAAGGAGCTTCATTAGTTAAATGAAGGTTGTATTCCTTAAATGATTTAAATTTGAATAATTATGTCTATAAAGCATACATTATTAATTGTTTAAGAAATTTTTAAATAAATATTATATTATAATCATTCGATATTAAAATAGATAAATTATATAAAGGTGGTTGTTTTGTTTCATTTTCTAACCCTAATAAACTTTTTTCTTATAATAACATAAAAGATTAATTTGAAAATGTATTAATCTTCAGTAATTAATATAGATATCTAAAAGGATTTAAATCCGAGTATTTGTGTTTATAAAGCATATATTATCAATTGATTAAAAAATTTCTAAATAAATATTTACCTTATAATGATTTAATATTAAAATAGATAAATTATATAAAGGTGGTTGTTTTGTTTATTTTCTAATCCTAATAAGCTTTTTTCCTTGTAATAATATAAAAGATTAATTTGAAAATTTAATAAATTTTCAGTAATTAATAATATATATATATATATATTTATAAAATTTAAAATAAACTTATTAAGGGGTTTCATTAATAATTATTGAATGTTGTTTTCCTTAAAAGATTTATATTCTAGCAATTGTATCCGTAAATCATATATTATCAATATATTATGAAAATTCTAAATAAATACTATATTATAATTACTCAATATTAAAATAGATAAATTATACAAATAAATTTTATACATATTTTATATTAAAAAGTTTCTTAAGAATGCTATTAGTTTAGAGTGAGAGTGGTGAATATCAATTAGATATTTATTTGTTAACAGATAAAAATGTCAGTAAAAGAGTTGCTTTAAATTTTATGTTAATTAGTTTAATAATATTTGTGGACACTAATTTTCGTCTGACTTAATATATTAATATATTAATATTTCATTTTTATTATTAATATATTATACTTATTTTATATTTTTTTTCCTTTTATAGGTCCAACAGTACAAGCAGCAGGCTCAAAGCCAATTTCATTACAAGGGTAATCCAACCCGATGACATCTTGGGGACCCAATAGCTCAGCTGCCAAATAGACCCGCGAATCGGGTCCAAAGCTCGACCGACCCGATTTAAGACCTGAACAGATTAGGGGTTGTTGCGAAGTGGTCAGTCGCATCTCCTCAAGAGCCGCATCTCCCGCCGACGACCCCTCACGCATCCAACGACCCATGCAGCAGATTTCTCGACACCAATATCACCAACAAACAAGCAAGTAGTTTGGCATCGTTAGAAGTCTAAAATCAAACGGAACAAGGCTTCTAAACATTATAAATATGCATGAAACATCACAAGAAAAGGGGGGAATGATTAGAGGGAAATACATCCGTTACATACGAAAAGAGGGCCTTTTTTCAGAGAGGAAAGAACACAAGCATCAAGAGAAAATCGCACACGAAAATCAGGAGTATCAACAGAGAGTAAACCTAGAACACACAAAAATTCTGGAAAAAAGAAAATATATGATCGTGAATCAACAAGAAGAAAAGAGAGTTTTTTTTTTTCTTTAATCTGGAGAAAGGAATACCGAGACATCAAAACTCAAAGCAAACCAGCGTTCGACGGATGATTTTGTAGCTTGAAGAAGGTAAAAGTTGAAATTTTTCGTTTGTAGATTTACACGTATTTGTGTGATTTATTTGAAAACTAACCTCGGATTTGCACTCAGAGCTTAAAAACGTTTTAAAGTTGGATTTTGGGGCAGTCACCGCCGGCGGTGGTCGGTGACGACGGACGATGCCATTTTATGATGGTTGTTTTTAGTTCTGGCCGAAGATCATAGAGAACTTTGAGAGAGTGGAGGCTGCCAAAATGAAAAATGAATAAAATAAAATCAGGGTTTAGTTCTTAGTTATATTCAATGTTTTTGCTTCTTTGGGTAAACTATGAATTATATCTTTCCACTGTAGAGTGGCCTCGATTAGGTCCCTAATTTAGGCTTGATTTAATTAATTATGCCCTAAATAATCATGGCTTAATGTTTTTCCGTTCATGACTAATTTGCTTGGAGTGAATGTGGCTTAATTAGTTCCCATGCGAAGGCTTTGTTTTTTTATGGCATGAATTAATATAATTAAAATATTGATTCTCCTTATCAAATCAAATTTGCCTAAAATCGTTGCTTAATTCTTTTAGTGCATGGTTGGTTAATTTGGAATGAAAGTGGCTTTTAATTGATTAATTAATGTGATTAAGATTCCATGGTTTGAGATGATTGTTGTAACGATTACGGTGTTGATTGAGGTAATTGAGGTGTTAATTGATCTGGTTAATTTCCGCAATTGAGTAATATTTTTTTTATAATTTGTGAATTAATTAATCAGTTTTTATATGGATAATTAGTGTTATTAAATCCATATCATTTATTTGATTTGTTTTAATTGTTTATCTATTTATACTTTATTTTGCTTTTTTTTAAAAAAAAATTAATTTCTCTTTCTTTTGATTTATTATTTATTTATTTATTTTCTCCAACATTTTTAACTTTGTAGATAAATTCCTACTGATCAAAGGTAAATAATTTGAATTGAATGCTTTTAAATTTTAATTTAAAGTTTAAATTTTCATAATTAAGACAGCCGACAAATTACGTAGTACCGAAAGGGCGGTTCAAGGGTGCTAATCCTTCCTTGACCGTAACCGACTCCCGAACCCGACACATTTCTGGTACAACGCAGATCAGGTAAGATGGTGTCCGACCCACCTAAGTTCGTTTTAAAGTGGTCGGTGGCGACTCCAATCCATTTTCCTAAGTCGAAGCCCAATTCCGGGGCCCAACCGAAAGACGGTTGTGACAGCTTGGCGACTCCACTGGGGACAGGTAAGTGAGTCAGGCCGAAATTAATTTCTGGTTGTCCTTTTTAGCGAAAATTACAAGTTTAAATTTTAATTTATTTATTCGATTTCAATTATTTATCTTTGATTTTATTTTTCGAGTAAATAGTTGTACTGACCGTTTTCTAATGATTTCAGCTTCCCAAACTTGTTGTTCATCTAAAGGCTCTATACCCGAGCTCCAAACCCTATTTAAGTGGGGGTGAAAGCGACGCCTTCGTGTGAATTTATTCACCGTGCGGGCCTAGCAAGTAGCCTTCGGGATACATATACCTTATGCCTTCGTGTGAATTTATTCTCCGTGTGGGCATAAGGGAATGTTTCCTCTCGAGTTCAACTTAGTCCATACAAGCCTGTGATGGGTTTAGGACTAAGGGTCTGGCAAGCCCAAGGGGGCACCAGCAAGGAGAACTCGGGTACCGTTTTTTAGAACCTAAACTGGGAGACTTTGAAGAATTAGAGTCTACCCCAAAACTCATTCCAAACCCTAGACTGCTTGAATTATTTCATGTTTTACCTTTTGTTCAAAGCATGCGAACTAGACAAATATGCGGTTAGGATTTGTTTAGCATGTGGGATAGAGATCATGTCCGGGTAGGAATAATAAGCATGTGGGGTAGATATCATGTGGGGTAGAACTTCATTTTTATCGTTTTTATTATTTTCACCTCACTAACTTTTTTTTTCCTTTTTTGTTCTCTTTTATTTTATTTTCACCATTTGCATCATTTCAAAAGAGGTGTTGATCCCCAAAAAACATGTTCGTTAACCATAAATAATTTGCATTAATGGACAAAGGGGTTGTAATACAAGAGATAAGAACGTAGGGGTCCGACTATGGTAAGAAAAGACTCAAAAAGAAAAGGAGGACAATCTGCAAGGCAACTATGTGTCACATTCTATCAAGAAGACGTGGTGCCCACAATCAAGTACATCAAAAGTTAACTTTTCAAAAATGGGTTGACAAAGGTGGCAGGGGCAAGACAAGAAAAAGGTTACTAATCTCGAGAGTCCATTCAAAGACAAGAAGAACAAGATGGCAAAACGATAGCTGAATTGGAAGTCATTGTCGACAAATTCAAGAAACAAGCAAAGGAACTTCGGATAATCCATTTGATGGAGGATTTCAATGGAGTTTCTGATTCAGCAAAGGATGAAAGCCAGAGATGCAGTCATTCGATACTTTTGGAACAAGTACGAAAAACAGTTCGTCACTTGCACGGTTTAGCCAGAAAAGCCGGAGCGGTTCGGCAGGGTATTCGACCGGTGTGACAAACGAAGACAGAAGACTAGTCAACTTGTTTTGGGGTCTAGAGGATTTAGTCCGGATGTACCTTTAAATATGTTTATTGTCTCTTAAAAGATAAAACACTTTTGTCCAAATAAAGATTATTTATAATAACAGACACGTTTTCGGATCAATGCCTCGAACATTTCATGCATTTTTGCATTTTACATCTACATTTCATTTTAAAGTATTTTCATAAACATTAAATTTCTTCATGGAGGATTCAATGAAGTGGTTTTAACCACATGACACCACATGGAAGCAAGATTGTAACATCAAAAGGAAAAAAACTGAAATCAGTACAGTGTGAGCCCGATCAGTTGGTTGTATGACTAAGCCTGCCGGGATGATCTGAGAAAAGAGTCCCCATATCCTAAGGTTTACGATGTTGAAGCTCTTAGCTGTTACCACATAAGAAGACCCAAACATTCCTCTGAAAACTGTAAGGCGCTTGCCGAAGAAGGGGGCATGGCATATACCATTTGCACTTAGAGAAAACATCTTTGATCTTTCATGTTTGCTTAATATTTTAAACGATTGAATTTATGCTACTTTCTAAAGTGGAGCAATGGAACGAGCTTTAATCTTTAGTTCTTCGAATATTAAATGAATTAAGGATTCTTTTAATTCTTCAAGAATTATAGATTTTTGACATGTGACAAGATTAGACCTTTCTTATCATGTCTCAAACCCCAAAATAAAATACCTCGA